TTTATTCACCTAATACCAAATCAAAATCATCGTTTTCATTTACCCAACAGTTTTTATAATTTTCTGGCACGTCCTGCTTGTTAACTTCAGTCGATATATTTGAAGTCACGTCTTGCTTATTACGTGCACGACTTTATTACGCTGGTGCAAATAAATTAAAGCAGCCGCAAATTTCGTGAATGCCTGGTTCCGGCAATTACTTTCTAAGAAGTCGAGCGTCAGGAAGACAGGACAACAGTGAAAGCGATTCATCGTTTGAGAGCACAGAAATGGACGAGACAAACCAGCTGGGCCCAGCCGGAGACGGTCAAATAAACGCCATTATCGCGACATTAAACGCCTTAAGAGCATCGGTGGAAGAACTGAGGAACAGCACCGTCGAAAGCCAACGAGATATAATAAGGTTGCGCGAGAACATTCGGCCACAGGAAATGGGTGAGCAAAACGTGACAATACAGCCAGCACCACGCGAATCGAGCATAGTCGCCATGCCATCGACAGATTCGACAGTCAAACTCTACGATTTGCCCACGTTTGCCGGTAATGCGGAAGAATGGCCGCTGTTTTTTGCCAACTATAACGACACCACCGAGGCATTCGGATACAGCCATCGCCAAAACTTAATGCGACTACAGAAGTGCCTTGTAGGCCCTGCAAAAGAAGCAGTGGCAGCGATGCTAATTCACCCAAACGATGTGCCAAACGTTTTAAGTGAGTTAGAATTTAGGTTTGGTCGGCCAGATATTCTAGTTAAACATCAGATACAAAAACTACAGCAGTTTCCGCCAATCGTCGAGCAGAAACTGGAACAGATTGTGCCATTTTCGTCCAGAGTACGCAACGTGGTAGCCTTCCTGAAATCCGCAAAATGTCACCAGCATCTAGCAAATGTCTCCCTGCTAGAACAAATGGTATGTAAACTACCGCAAAATAAGCAGTTTGACTGGGCCAAACATTCAGTCACCATTAGACCGTATGCAACTATAGAAGACTTCAGTACGTGGTTGAGCGAGCTAGCCAGAGTCGTGTGCCTGATGCCAACTACTACACACAGTACCAGAACTAATGCGCCATCTGGTAATCCTCGTCGTGTAATGCATATTCAGGAGGAAAGAGCAGAGGAAGCAGCAAAATGTCTTCATTGCAGCGGTGATCATCCTATCCTGAAGTGCGCTTCGTTCAAAGCCGCAGACGTGCAAGCCAGATGGGAATTTGTGAAGAATCGCCAGTTGTGTTTCTCCTGCTTGCGAAAGGGTCACATTACTGGAAAATGTCGTTCAAGGAAACTGTGCGGCATAAACGGATGTCAGCGTTATCACAGTCATCTCTTACACAACAATGAAGTTCCACTCACAACATCGCGCCAAATCGCTCAATGTGTTAGAAGTGTGCAGCCCGTGTTAAACTGTCGCCTCGTTCATGGAACGTCCAAGCAGCTGTTCAAGATGTTGCCTATCAACATTTACGGACCGAACGGTAAATACGAAATTTTAGCAATGTTTGATGAGGGTTCTGCCATCACAATTTTAGAGGAAGACATCGCCAGAAAGATCGGGGTTCGTGGCCAGAGTCACCCCCTCACGCTTCAGTGGTATGACGACCGAGTGGTAACTGAACAGTCGTATAAAGTCAACCTAGAAATCGGAAACAGCGTTGGCAACAGGAGGTTTACTTTGAAGGGCGTGTACACGGTGAGACATCTGAACTTGCCAGAGCAGGCATTCGCGAAGGGAAACTTCGAACACTTCGAACATGTGCCTTTGCAAAGCTACAGTAGTATGAAGCCGTCATTGCTGATTGGCCTAAATCAAGCATATTTAGGCGCCACCACAACTTTAATACAAGCTGATAACGAGAGTCCCATCGCTGCCAAAACGCCACTGGGTTGGGTCGCCTATGGACCAACCAAATCGCCACTAACGTCAAATCCTCGAGTCATGGTTATTAAGGAACATCAACAACTACATAATTTGGTTTCTGAGTATTTTGCATCAGATAGTTTCGGCACCAATCCGACGTCGGCAAAGTTACAGTCGGATGAAGACAAGCGAGCGCGTCATATACTAGAAACAACAACTACACGACAAGCAGATAAGCATTATGAAGTTGGACTTATTTGGAAACGGTTTCCGCCGCAACTCCCAAGCAGCAGAGAAATGGCAGAACGGCGTTTATTAGCGATTGAGAAACGTATGCATCAGGACAACGGATTTGCTGTCCGCTACAAGGAGGAAATGGCTAAGTACGTGGAAAAAGGGTACGCCAGAAGACTAACCGACAAAGAAGTTAGCGCATCACATCCGCATATTTGGTACTTGCCGCATTTCGCGGTTTTCAACCCAAACAAGCCAAGCAAGCTGCGTATCGTCTTCGATGCAGCAGCGACTGTCAAAGGCGTGTCTCTGAACTCAGCACTGTTGAAGGGCCCCGAACAGGCACAGCCATTAATTCGCCTTCTGCTACAATTCCGTCAAGGTCAAATTGGGGTTGCGGCGGATATACGCGAGATGTTTTCGCAAATAAGGGTTAATCCAACCGATCAACATGCTCAACGTTACTTATGGAGACACGGAGACATCCACCAACCAATTCAAGAGTTCATGATGACGTCGATGATCTTCGGGGCTGTTTGCTCGCCCTGTATCGCCGAGTACGTGAAAAATCAAAACGCAGAACTTTTTAAGTCGGAGTTTCCTGAAGCATCGTCAGTTATCATTAACAAACACTACGTCGATGATCTGGTTGCCAGTTTTGAGTCACCAGAGCGAGCCATGAAAGTCAGCCGTCAAATCATTCAAATCCATCGCGAAGCAGGGTTCCACCTAAGAAACTTCGTCTCAAACTGCACTGAGTTGGAAGAAAGGTTGAATGAATCGTCATCATCAGAGCGAGAAGCAGTTAATATGGAACGTAATGGTACGACGGAGAAAGTTCTTGGCCTATACTGGAACACCGAAGAAGACACCTTTCAATTTAACACCAAATTTCATCGAGTGCCCAAAGATGTGTTGAACGGAGCACGAGCTCCTACAAAGCGGGAGCTGTTGCAGATAGTGATGGCAGTCTTCGACCCGTTCGGTATGTTGGCAGATTTCTTAATTTTTTCTAAACTTCTCATTCAAGATATGTGGAGGTGCGAGGTCGATTGGGATGATGCGATGCCAGCGGGGCTAAGCAGAAGGTGGTTACCTTGGTGGGAAGAATTCCATAACGTGAAGCTGTTTAAGATGCCACGATGCTACTCTCCACATATCCTGAACAAGTGTAGAGTTGAGCTACACATATTTGTCGATGCGAGCCAAGTTGCGTTTGCTGCGGTTGGGTACGTGCGTGTATCCTACAGAGACACAATCGATGTTAGTTTCGTCATGGGTAAAACGCGGACTGCACCTACTAAACTGATGTCCATCCCAAGACTCGAGCTCCAGGCGGCAGTATTAGGTACAAGATTGCACAAATTAATAGTCAGCGCTCACGAATTCACAGCTGAACGTATAGTTTTTTGGAGTGACTCACGTACTGTGCTGCAATGGTTGTACTCCTCTGAGCGAAAGTACAAGGCATTTGTAGGCCATCGCATTGCCGAAATACTTAGCTCAACCTCGCAAGAACAATGGCGATGGGTACCAACATGCCAAAATCCCGCAGATGTTGGCACACGTGCCTCCAATCCACCGAAGTTTAACTGTGACAGCAGGTGGACAAAAGGCTCCGACTTTCTAAAGCAGGACGAACAGTATTGGCCTGCCATGTCAATAACACCGTCAACAATGCTACTAGAGGAAATGCAGCCTGACCGCCTGTTATGTATGCAGCCAAGCAGCGTGATTATCGAGTTCGAGAGATTTAGCTCATACATGAAGCTAAAACGAACCTTAGCCTGGGTTCTTAGAGCGATAAATTTATTTCGAGTGCATACAAATACCGGAGGAGCGCATTTACCTTCGCAACTTTCAGCAGCAGAGATCGAGAAAGCCGAACACACAATATGCAAGTTGGTACAACAGGAACATTTCGCAAATGAAGTCGCAGATTTGACTGCGTCACGTACGCTCACAAAAACTAGTCCGCTTTATAAGTTATCGCCATATGTAGATGAAAGTGGCATTCTCCGCTTGAGTGGTCGCATTGACGAAGCAGCGTACTTGCCCCTGCAAGCACGCCGACCAATTCTATTGCCGCAAAAACACATCGTCTCAACACTGATCGTTCGACATCATCATGCGAAAAATCACCACCAGAACTTGGCAGTAACGATCAATAGCGTTAGACAAAAATTCTGGATCCCGAACTTAAAGTCGCTCCTCAAAAGGGTTCAACGGAGTTGTGCTGTTTGCTGCATCGATAAAGCAAAACCCAAACCACCTTTGATGGGTCAGCTGCCTTCCGACCGCGTAACACCGTTTGTGCGCCCGTTTACCTACACTGGCGTCGATCTATTTGGACCATTAGATGTTGCAATCGGAAGACGCAGAGAGAAGAGATGGGGCGTCATATTTACTTGCCTCACGGTACGAGCTGTGCACATCGAGCTGGCGGAGAACTTATCGACCGACGCGTTCATTTTGTGCCTCCGCAACTTCGTGAATCGTCGTGGTACCCCGGCGAGGATTAGAAGCGACAATGGTACCAATTTTATAGGCGCACAAAAGGAACTGGCATCCGCTGAACACCTGCTGGACACAGACCGCATCCGAGCTGAAGCCACTAAGCACCATATCGAGTGGGTATTCAACTGTCCAGCAAATCCTAGTTCCGGTGGTTGCTGGGAGCGCTTGATAAGAGTCGTTAAATCGCTTCTTAATAAGACGCTTCGAGAGGTGGTGCCAAGGGAACATACGTTACGAAGTGTTCTCATAGAGGCGGAAAACATTATAAACTCGCGTCCTCTAACCGACCTGCCTATATCACATGAAGAAGATGAACCGCTCACGCCGAACCACTTTATAATGGGGTGTGTTAACTCGACACAGACGCCTCATCCCGTCGATGAAAAAATATGCCTCAAGAGACAGTGGAAGATTGCTCAAAACCTAAAGGATCGCCTGTGGAAACGTTGGACTACAGAGTATTTACCGCAGTTGTTGTGTCGAACTAAGTGGCACGAAGCAGTGCCTCCGCTACAAGTCGGAGATTTGGTCATTTTATTTGAGTCAAGCTTGCCCCGCAGGCTGTGGCATCGAGGCCGCATAACACGAGTCTTCCCAGCTAAAGACGGTCAGGTACGAGTGGTGGAGGTGAAGACCAGAACTGGACTTCTGCGCAGACCAGCATCCCGCCTAGCCAGGCTTGTGGTTGAGAGTGAATCCCGGAGTGATTCACGGGGGGTGGGGTGTTAGGTCGCCCTGTGGCATTTCATTGCTTGTTTCATTTATTTATGTATGTATGTACTCCTTTATTTATCGTTTTGTCTATTCACTGTATTTGTTTACTACTTTAAAATACATAGCACAAGCTGAACGGGACTCTTATATACCTCGCCGTTACTCGTTTTAGAATATAAAGCCTGAAGTTAGGGAAAACATTTTTGTATTAGTTTTTGCAGACGTGCCAGTCAACACAATTATAAAACAACCAAACCAACCAAGCAACTATGTAAAATTAATCGGGTTATAATTAAAGTTTTATTCACCTAATACCAAATCAAAATCATCGTTTTCATTTACCCAACACAACAAATATATTAGAAAATTAATTTCAGTTAACAATTGTAAGTTATTGTTAGAATTTTAGCTTTGGATGTAGACAGTTATTGCACCCTTTGCTATTGTTTATGCTCAGTTTGCGCATTGTTAGGCTTTCTGCACATTGATCGTCCAATCATAGTTGATTCATCGTCACAATCATGATGCAACGATTGCATGACGACTACACTTTCGCACACACGGTCGTGATATTTCAATACATTTGGCGACTAAAAATTCACTTGCAGCAGGTATTTCCCGTTTTTCTGGTTGATATTTTCGCGAAATATTTACAAAAACCTGCAATTTTTAAAATACAGACTGTGCTGCAACAATTCTAGACTTCAGCAGGGATCGAACCTGCGAATTCGATGTTCAAAGTCAGAAGCGTTAACCACTGAGCTATGTACATCCCGCAAACTCTTGTTGCTAATT